ATTCTTTTTTTTTTTTTTTTTTTTTTTTTGTTTCTCTCTTTTTCAAGCAATAAATTAAGTTAACTGATGAGTATGGAAAATTCGTAATAAATCTCTAAAAACTTTCGTGCAATTTTTTTCCTGGTGAAGGATACATTCCGGCTCAATATTTAAAAACTATACTAAAACTTAACCACTAAAATGCCGCATAAAGAGAAATAAATAAAAAACAAAAAAAAAAAAAAAAAAAAGACCAAAAACAAAAGCAATCAACAAAAGCAATTATGCGTTTATAACACACATTGACTCTTTAGCTAAAGGGCAAAAGCAGTTAAGATTGCAAGAAACAATAACAACAAACAATAACATAACCATCAATCGCGTAAGGTAAGTGTGTAAACTCGTTACTTTAGCTTTAGTTTAACTGGATATACAGTTTATTAGCAATTGTTGTTTTGTTTTGTTCCGTTCGGTTTTTGTTCTTTGCCTTTGCTTTAACAAACCAATATAGGATGATGTTGGTATAAGATTTGTGGCATTTTAGTGACATTGCTGGCTGTTTCTTACATTACGTCTTACTTCTAACTTCATTAACAGAGGTTACAGATAAAGGACAAGTAATTAAGATTAAGACATTTTACAGCTTAGAGAGCTAAAAATGTTTTCTTTCCCTTTTCTAGTGCGATAACCTTTGATATCCGCCTGCATCGCATTTCACTACCAATCTTCTCAAATCAACATATAAAAGTTATAAAGCATTTTTTTTTTAAAAGCATGGCCCCGAAAATTTGTCGACTAGAGCTTCATTGCACTCATCTTAAGAATGTTAGTAACAAGGTTTTGGGTGAACTTGTACGGCAGGCCTTGTTCATTCTTTAACTAAAATTTCAAGTCATCTTCATAAAGTTTGTGCTACGCTTTATATTTAAATTACAGAAGAGGACGGAGGAATCATCTACAACATTACTCTCTTGAGAATCTTTTAATTTAGTTCTCCCTTTGCAAGGTGTATATCTCTTCTGCATGGGATCTTTACTGTAAAGAGTAACCTTGACATTGCAAGGCGAAATAGTCTTTTTGTATCAATCAGAGATATTGTGAGCAGTTTTCCTATTGACTTTTGAAATGTTTTTTTGTAAATTTCAAATTTATTGATATCTAAGATAGCTTTATAGAATTTTAGCGATCTTTAAATGTTCTTTTCTATACCTCTTGTTCCTGGATGCATTAAGAATATATTCTTTTTATACAAAAAGATCTATGGTTAATAAAATGTTTCTACAACATCCCGAAAAGCAAGTGATTACACCTCTTAAATCATTTTATAAAAAAAAATCCACTAAGACTACTTTTGCAAATTTTCAAGAAAAATCTGAATTTCGTGAACTTCGCGTTGCCCCCAAGCAACTGCATGTTGTAAAGTACATGAAACTTTGGCATATTTCGTTTGACGATTGGCATTACCCAAAAATCGTCAGCGACCATTTTACGAACGTATTGGGTATTATTTGTTTAACTTACAGGCAGATGCTATCTTGTGGGCGCAAAATTATGAAAAATTCCCCCATTCCCCCGTTCCCATTCAAAAAGTTGAAGGAACTTCGGAAAATTGAAAAAAAAAAAAAAAATATCCATAGCAGGGACTAATTTAGATCATTTTTTGGCTAAAGTCAAAATAATGGAATTGTAATCGTGGACGGAAGTGTGGTTGCTGTGAACAATGAAAGAAATTTCTAGGTTTTGTATTATTGTAATTTTAATAACTTAATGGACAGACGGATAGGCAGGTTTAATCTTGTTATGTGGTCTGCGATTCTAAGCCTTAAAAAAAAAGATATTCAAACAGATTATAAGACTACAAATCCAGTCATATTTAAAACAGAAACAAGCAAAGACATAAGGGATTTGGCAACTCTGCGCATGCGTTGTGCTCGTGTCTTTTACTTTATGTATAAAAATTTTGTAATTTATTTTTTATTTTCATGTTTTTGGTCATCCAAAATGTGCAGTTATCGCTGGTAGTGCTGCGGTCGCAATCCGAGATCCTTCGAAATTACGTTCATCTTGTCCTGACTGAAGAAAGCGGGTTTTAAAAGTTTTTCACTACGGCGAGGAATGATTTTTCTGAATTAACTAAAAATCTCGTGGCATTGTACGGAAGATTTGAGAAATTAAAACAATGTTCGACGAGTGTACTTAGAGCACTCACTTTCTCCTCCAGTCGATAAAATACCTACGTCCAGTGTGGCGTGCGGTACTTCATCGTACCGTTCTCGCCTAAATCTCTTATGTCGTTCCATGTTGCTCGTCACCATTCCTTTTCTTCCTCATCGACAACAACAAATCTTATGAATCAGCCATTGGCGAATCCGGTTCCATTCTTGCCTACAAACAACATTAGTGTTTCCTCCATTCCATACTCAGCGGGTAATACAAATGTTACCAATAATCCATGAAGCCCTCCTCGTGTCAGCTATGCAGAAGTGGCATGGATGTCTACATCTCTAAAGAATATTAAGGAAAATAATAAATCCGCCTCTCCTTTGATGTTCAGCTGTATCTGCTGGTCACCCTGCTGGACAACTCTCACAAGCTGCTCAAGCAAGTGTATTCACTCCCTCAATTTTCTTGGAAATCAAATTCTCTATCTGTGAAACTTATCGTTTCTAATAGGGAAGACGTCTGCCTAACGGTTTTACTCCCCACAAAGGCAATATTCGTGTCTAGACTAGCGCCTGACAACTCTGAGCTATCTTAAGTTGTTAGTTTCGAGTGAAAACATGGAAATTTTTTAAGGTAAACCATTGGATCCTTAATGAAGGAATTCACTCTTCGGGATTGTCCTCATAATACTGATTCGTTCCTTCTGCGCCCCAAAAACTAAATGCGCGTGTGTATTTCAATGATTTTCACCCAGTCCTTGAAATCAACCCTCTGTGTTGGAACAGTAGATTCCCCTTTACAAATGTGGAGTTGGTGTCACGTTGAGAACTGAGTGTCTGACCTAAATTGTTTGAGCGAATTGTTACTCAGCATTTAGCTTTTTCTATTAAATTTTATATTTCTCCCTGCCAGCATGGGATTTTGAAAGGAAGATCAACTGCTTTTTCTAGTGGCTCTCGCACGGATGTCATATATACTGATTTTAGTAAAGCATTTGGCTTAGTTGACCGTAATATATTGATCTCCAAACTGTTTCCACTTAACGAAGTGGATAAGCTTTTATTTCTGGCGTGCTCTAAGCCAGATGCACTTAGGTCTCCTTTTATTTAATTTATACATTAATGATGTCCCCTCTGTAATTAAATCCATACAGATATTAATCTAGGCTGATGATGTTAAAATGCTTTCTTCCTTCTCCTTGGAATCGAGACGTACTGCTTTGTACATTGAGCAATCTTTAAGTAAAGCTAGGTTCGGGCTAGATTACATTAAGAGTTGGGTGAAAGAGCTTAAGGATCCTTATATTACAAAAAAGCTGTACATGTGCTTAGTTAGACCAGTATTTGCGTATGCTCATGTTGTGTGGCCTCCTTCGTATAGATGTTATTTAGGTTCAATTTAATCGATTTCCTTAGGAGATAATGTTCCTTCGTTTCTGTTAGCAGTTTATCTTTATTAAATGTAATGAATGTAAATGTAATTATGAGCTGTTTAACATGTTCAGAGTTGTTTGCAAGATGTCTATCACTGCGCGTATTTGAACTAAATTGCAATCTTAACATCTCACTATGATTCGAAAATGAACTGATGTTGTTTACCGTTATCGTTTGCCAAAATCTTGCATGTTTGCAATGGCTTAGAGTTTCATTTGCAACTTGGACCTGTACCGGTTGTGGGTGTGCCCCTATATTAGTTGGGTACATGTTTGAAAATGCCTGCACGCCAATTGCGAGATATGTGTGGAAAAAAATATATTTCCCCGCCTTCTACATTTAACAAGACAATCCAATATCGATGCAACCGATTTCCTTTTAAAAAAATATCCAAGCAATGTATTGTTTTTTATTTTATTTTTTTCAAACTTCTTGTACGCAGACTACAATAGCGCCATTGGCAATATAGCAATTTAATTTAATCTGTGCGTATCAGCAATTACAATAACCTTTCAAAAAGATTTTATACATTTCATAAAACTTGTTAAAATGTATTTATATGATAATTGGCTTTGAAACGTCACCAGTTTTCTCTTAGTATTCTAGTGAGGAACACATAGTTTTTATAAAATATATATAAAAAGCGTAGCTGAAAATTATCAAAACGTGGGATAGAAGCTTAAAAGTATACACACATAAAAGATATAAATCATAGTTGTGTGCCTACATGTGAATCTTTCTCTGGATATTATATCGAAATTCAATCTGGTTGAGAGAACAGTTAAGATTTCAAGAGCCTAATCCCAATAGCCAAGAGCAATTTATGACTAATTAAATATTAAATAATTTACACATAGAGAATGAATGAATATAACAATGTTATGAATTCACTAATAATCTTTAACTAATCGTAAAATATTTACTTAAGTAGCATTTTTTTCTCAATATGTGCCTCTACGTTAAGATAAATTAATAAAAATTTTTCTAATGGTGAGTATATAAGAGAGTCCCATTAATGGCAACACTGCGCTCATTCGGTTTGTTTACATCGCTTTTCTTGATTACAACTAAATAATATCTAAATACACCGTTTGCAAATATGGATAGAAATCTATTTAACAAAAGAAATGAAAAGGAAAAAAGGAAAAACTCACCACGACAGCTGCTAAGGTGTACTATTGCTTTGATTAGGGTGAATTATTAATAACTTGGTATAGAAATCAATATGAAAATGGAACTCGGAGAAGAATCCGTCTTTGTGTGTACAGATATGTAAAAGCATACATACATGCGGCTCTGTATACACAAATATCGGTATATATCTACCTGTATATGCTGTATAATGTATATGTATATATATTTATATATATATATTATATTTATATGTATATATGTATTTAATTTAATAATTAATTGTAAAAATACCTGGTCGATCCAATGACTGACGTCGACTCATTGGCAGTTTTTAGAAGCACAATACGTTATTCCCAAAACTATTGATTTGAAAGTAGATTGAAGTAATAATTGCTGTAATAACACATACAGTAGTAATACTGGCGGTGTTTGATTAACTTCTTAAACACAATTATCGATAATAAATTACACATTAAATATTTTTGACACATTTGGGCGGTTATTTATTATAATTATTAATTTTATTAAAATTTATATTGATTTTAACGTGATATTAAATATTTATAATATATATAATTTTTTTATTTTTATTTTTAATTAGATATATTTTTTACATTTTCTCTCTATACAACTCCAGATATGATATGAGAAAGTTTTTCTTTCTTCTTATAATTTCTTCTTTTTTTTAAGTATACCGCAAAAAGAAATCAACAATCGTACGTCGACGCACTAATACAAAAAAAAAAAAAATAACATAACAGCGAGGTGTAATACACGGTCAAACACACACACACTTAAACAAACATACGCACATGGACATTAACTTATGCATATAACCAGAATAAAATGAAGGAAAAAATTACTCTACACAGCCGCCACATTAAAATTATGTCTAACTTTACAATGGTTCAGAGGAACCTGCGAATTATCTTATAATAAAAACATTTTCTAATTGAGTTTGTGATTTTAAGCGATTTATAGAAATTTCTCATGATAGATTATAGGGATTTTTCTTCAATTTTTTTAATAACTACGTTTAAACCGCCGTCGCCGCAACTGCTTAATATTAAACTGTGGTGAAAATATTATCACGAGTTTAGTTTAGCAGTGACCGCCAACTAACTAAAAATACACCACTGACACAAGAGGTAAAACTTATGTTTTTCAACAAATGATTATTCACAATAGGTATTATATTCTTATAGTTTTTCACATTCCGTGTTATTCTTTGCGTAAAAGCGAGATAAATATATAACTAAAGTCATTTCATGCAATACCTATACAGCAAAGAGAATTCTGTTTGTCTTTCCTTGCGTCCCTTTCTCTAACTCTCACGCTTTTCCTCTCACTTTATCTAGCAGTCACAAGTCGAGAAGAAATACTTTTAATATAAATTTCACTTTTTCTTCTTAATTAACAGTTTTAGAGATTTAAAAAAGAAATATTTTCCTCGATTGTTTGACTTTCCGGATTCTTTTTCTTTTTGACGGTTTTCTCGTTTGTTTGGTCTTTCATTTTCTTTTCTTTCACTTATATTAAACGCGTACACACGTACATTCATGCTGCTCTTTTAAAGAAAATGAAAACCAAAACTGCATTCTGTCTATATTTTTGTTAATATTCGACTATTTGGTTTTTTTTTTTCATTTTTCGTATAGTGTTTTTAGTTTTCATAATTTTGCACAAAACATCTTAAGCTCTAGTTTTTTTCACTTCATTCTTAATAAATTCAACGATTTATTCAAAATTAGTTTATAATTTATTTTTGTAAAGGAACTCTCGAACCTGTTTATGGCAGACTTTTCATTGCTTTTGTCTGTGGTGTGTATTCCTTTTCTATAAATTGCTTGATTTTTTTTAAATGGTGAATTTCACGCGAACCTTACTTAAAGGTGTTGCCAGTAATTGCAATTAAAAACTATGCTGCATTTCATTATGTTTGTAGTGTATATGAAAAAAGGGGTAAGAAAAGACAACTATTTTCCATTTAAATGAAAGATCGTGTATTTATTTATTAAATTAGCCATAACAATTGCAATGCAAAAACACAAAACTGAGCCGTACGCAATCCTAATTTAGTCTTCGCGCACACACGTGGTAAATACTAAATACCCGCGAAAAATGAATCAATTAACAATTGTAAGAGTTGACAAGTGAAATTCATTCAATAAGGTAAGTAGAAGAATATTAATGAGAAGATGCTTAACGCAATTAATTAATTTTTTAATGCAATTAACTAATTTTTTTTGCATGTAACGACACATTATGATTCGCTGAGGAGTATATTAATTTTGCAAATTATTTATCTTTTTAAAGTATTGTGAATCTCTTAGATTGAGTAGCTTGGGATTTTAAGTTTATTTATCCATCAAGGTTTCTGCTCTCTCGAATGTTAAGGCTTCGCCGTAGTAAGAAAACACGTTACTTCACATAAACATTTATCAATACTTGATAATTAGTATACGGAAAAAATCATTCGCTAATATATCTTTCTCGATAAAAAACTGTGCGATTTTCGCTTGTTTACTTTCCTGCCTAATCTTTCAAGCAGTCAAACGAAATTTTGCAGGCACAAGATTAGTCGAAAACTATTGCACCTATTAAAATACAAACAAATGTATGAACTTACAATACGTGCAGGAAAATCCGCTTTTAGTTATTAGTTAGTTTACTATTTAATTTAGTTAAAAATTAAATATCTATTATTCGTTTTTCCTTTATTTATTTTCTTTTTTCTTTAAATTTTTGATAATAAGATAATAAGATTTATGACTTCAAACAGGATTTCAGATTTTTCCCTCGTAAAACTTTCATATCAAGTTGGAAAATCAGTACCGAATAGAAATGAAAGTACCCGAGAAAGAATGTCTACTTAGCTACTGTTGCTAGTTTGTACAAAGCGACATATGAAGTCATTTGAAACACATTTGCAACTATGATACTGCTTACATTATCTATATACAATCCTACATATGATCGTTATATCAAGTGAATCCTTGCTTTATTCTACATTTAAATGTCCGCACATAAGCCACTATTAAAGTACTTGGCCCAAATCGAACTTCCGTTAAGCTTATATATGTGCATGTATGTGCCTAAATGAAGGATGAATATAATGAAAGGTTGGTCATCGAGCTTCTTACCCTTTACGCTATGGTGGTATAGAATGTATTATGTTGTACGTAGCCTTAAGCTATATTTATTGTGTGTACCGATCAATTTACAATCGTATTCTGAATCGATTCGAGTGCAACTGTCTGTGCGATGTCCGACGACGCGCTGCTAGTTTTTATCAACAGGTCGCACATTTCGTCCTATTTTGAAGAAGTATGTTATTCTGATGCTTTGGTAACGTATTGAATTACATTTGACCACTTTTTCGACCACTGCCCATATACTGCCTCATTTGAAATTCTCTTTAAATGAAAAAAAAATTTTAATTATTAATATTTCTTGGAAAAAACCGGCAGAAAGAAACAAAATAAAGTTTGCAAAAATTTGGATTTAGTGAGAGTCAGTTCCTATATAAGGGTTTTTAAGAAAGTCATGCCAAAAAGATGTAATTTTTAATACTTTAAGGTGAAAATTTATACAAAATATAAAAACTAAAGAAACATTGTTTACTAAATTTCATTATTACACACGAATGCTTGTTAATTAATTGATATAATAAAAGACAAGCTTACAATAGCTCCTTCTTAAAATTACATACATAGGTATAAACTTATCTACAAGTTGCGTAGGGTATAACCGTTTTTATTCTTTACCTTATTTCTCGTTATGACATTCCAATGGGCAAAATAATATCTTACATGCGATAATGTCTACATTCGAGAGCCAAATTAGGGAGATATCGCAAGTAAGATTTTATATTCTCTCTAATGCATAGAATATCTCAGGACATAAAAAATTATCTCATGGTTTATGAAACCATTTAAACTACTAATAAGAAGAAAGATTGGTTTGTGCTTACATACACCGAAATCGCAAAAAGAAGAAGAACAGTTATTGTTTTGGAATATAACATATTAAATAAAAGCGACCTAACTAAGATAATAAGATTGTGCAGAAAGTTAAGAGTTCTTCATTTTATGTCGCAAACACATTATCCTTGCTTAACGGTGCAAAAATATATTAACAACAATTCGTCATTTTTACGTTTTTAATATAGATTCACCGTTTTTAACACAGATCGCAGGTTAATGCCATATCAACATCAATTTCTTTTAATATGTTATTGAACATATAATTTCAAAGAATCCTTTAGGGCTGCTTAAGTTGCTCATCTGCTAATAGTGTAGTAAAACAAATAAAAGAAATAAAATAAACAAAATTCAGTTTATACACAAGTCCGTAGCAAATTTCATTTTTAATATATCTCGAAATTAAATTATAATAAACAAAATTAAATAACAACTAAATGGCAAAAATTCGTTTATAAATGTTTGCTTACCACGCTGACGGTTTCAGTTACATTTCAAAACGAAAAGTGGGTTCCGGCAAATGCAAAAAAAAAAGGAAATAACAGAAGAAAAAGAAAAGTGAGGACAGGATTACTTAGTCACCTCTGCGCTTCGCTTTTTGTTCAAGTAGACGTTTTTAGCTTATTTTTTTCAGAAGGTTATGCTTTGGAAGACAAACTACGTAAAAATACAACATTGTTAACTAAGCGGTGGCAAAAATTTATGAAATTCTTCAGACTCTGGGTTTGGACATAAACTGCAAGAAACGTAAATAACTTGAAACTTATGACTGTGGAGAGATGGCGCTTTTTTTTTAAAAATGTAAATGAAAGATTTGTCCATTAACTGAGACTTTACATAAGAAATTAAAAAAAAAAAAATAAATATACAAATAAATTAGTAAAATATATCAATTAACACCATATTCATGATATTTAATAATAGTTCAGTCCTCCTCTAAGCAAAGAAAAATTTCCATATGAAGCTTACACGCAATATTTTTTTCTCTTTCATTTTCACTCATCGTGCAACTAATATATATAACTAATAATTCATGTCATCTTGTAAGGTTTTTAGTAGAGAAGCTCTTTAGTGTCATTGAAAATGTGTCTGTTTGTTTGTTTTGCAACGAATAGGAAACAATCACTTAAAGTAGAAATTGTAATAGTATTAGTAACTGTAGCAGCAATATTAGCAGTATTATTAGTAGTAATAGTAGTAGTAGTAATAGTAATAGTATTAGTAGTACAAGGAAGCATTGGCATTGGAAGACATTTGTAAAGAGGAAAACCACAATCAATTGACATTTGCTTGTATGCCTAATGCCAAATTTGGTTAAACTTCATAATTTTGTTAAAAGATTGCTTTCAGCAACGGTAGCGAACACAAAGGCGGCCTGATCTCCAAGTTCAATATCTTGTTATTTAGAATGTTTATTGTCACGTGATACATGAAACTATTATACTCTGTGTTGCTATTGTATTGAGTAAGCGGAGATGTAAAATTATTTTCCTTTTAAACATTTAAATGCCTACATCGTCGTCGCCGTCGTCATTGTCATCGTCATCCTCCTCATTGTT